GGGATCACTTACGTGAAGTAACATTCAAAGGGAGGATCGGCTAAATTTCACCTTGTTTATTCCCAAATCCTCCGCCCCCGCCCCCGGCGATAAATAATGATCGGTCCCTAAGACATCCTTATTGAACGTTGTTCTTTTAAAATTTTCAAAAAAAACAGTCAAGGTGTCATTCACTCCCCCCAAGCAATTTGTCGAAGTGATAGGCGGTAGATTAAAGGATCTAAGGTAATCCGGATTTTCCAGAATCCACGAAATTTTTCAGTGGAGGTGGAATCCGGAATCCTGGGCATTGGAGTCTGCAATTCAGCTCAAGGAATACGGAATTCCGCAGACAATTGAAACCCGGAATCCAATTTCCATTGTCCAGGACTCCAGGATCTAGTACCTGGAATCTAGAATTCGTACTGTCTTGGATTCCTTTACTATTCATGGGCGAAACGAGCAAGGTCAGCTTCTTTGTTTTCATTCGGCCAACGCAAAAAACCGTTCATTAAATCGCCTCTAGTTACGTGGTCCGTTACCATCTTTCCCCACCTTAACAAAGTGTATTTAAGTTCACGTAAAGTGGAACATCTATTAACGGCCACCTCTCCGCAACGGCTGCCACGTCTACACAACGGCCATTTTTTTTTTATGGCGGACAGTCCATACATTGCCTATTGTTGAACCCTCTCGGCAACGGCCACTTTCTCTGTCCCTAAGGCGACCGTTGTGGTGAGGTTTAACTGTGGTACCAAATTAGGATGACCGTATTACTATAATTATTTTTTTGGTAATGATCTTCAGTTATGAAAATTCTCCATCCTAATCAGCATTCCATTCGTTTCATAGATTCATTCAACCTCGTATTTCCACTGAGACTAAAATCGCCCTCCCCTGACTTTTCAGTTTGTTGAGTTTTACAGTGTATAACGATACTTAAACGTGATTTAATACGTGAAGTCCATTGAACGATACGTCTGCTGAATATAAATGAGGTTTGAAAACTATTTTCGGGGATTCATAATTTTATAAATTCTGTCAGCACACGTTATATTCTCTCGGGGAATATAACGATTTCGTCGCTCAACTATGAATGATACTTACAGATTGTAATGGCAGCCGGCCCATATTTATAAGATGTGCCATGCACCGCAGTCAAAGCTTTAACTGCAGCTTGCATAGCCTTTTTCTAAGCAACAAGATAAAAAAAGAGGGTATAATCAAATGGAATATGGCAAGATAATAATGTAATGACTTTCCATGTTTTCATTTCCATTCAAATAAAATAACAAAATAAAAGTTATGTTTTATGAGTACCTTTGAATTTGATAAAGACACGGCTAAACTTCAAGTCCAATTTTTAGACCAAAATAGGCTTCAAATCTAACTGTTAGTGCAAGAATGAGTTGATTTGTATCAGAGATTTTGAAGCCGTTCAAAAAACTCACCGAGTGGTTTATTGTCAGTTCAGTTTAAAACCTCGAGGCGAAACCGAGAGTTTTTTAACCTGATAACACACTCCTGCTCGTTTTTTCAACATTACAACAAATATACAGCAATTTCCCATTGTCAGTACTAATTATAAACCATATAAATGACTTCTAAAAGTTAAAACTCAAAGGACAGTGGTCTCACGTGTATTCGTTTTTTCCTTGACATTCTGACAATTTTTTTTATTTTCTGTAAGGGTATATAAAATGGACCAGTTTTGTTTTTTCCAGTCACTGAACCAACCTAGAGTTTCGATTGTTTTCGAGGTTCAAAGACTTTTCGTTTGTTCCGCCTGTGGTTCTGTGATCTGTGATTTTACTTACTATTGATAACGTTCGTGTGGGAGGGGGGGGGGGGGGGGGGGATTAATGAAGGCCATTGGCCGTTGGTTGTTGTTATAATTTAAGGGGGTTTAAGTTTTAATTTTTTTAGTTTTTTTGGTT